CAGTGGCTTTTGTTCCCTGAAGGCTTTCCACACCACTTTTAGAGGATGAGAATGAAAATGGTGGCCTCCCAATCTCCAGCCCCGGAGCCAAAAGCTCAGGGCCCCACTCCTCAGTGAGCCCTCAGGGAAAAGCAGTCCATCACTCCTGTCTCCCTGGTCTCTGTCTGCTCTGTGCTCACCTAGCCTGTTACTGAACATTTGTATCTCAGTCATGGGACCCCATTTTGAGTCCCCAGACCCTGAAGACTCGTGTGGTGCATAACTGTGCATCTCCTCCCCAGGTAGGAAGGGGAGACTCGCTGATTCTGCCACTTGCTGGGCCCCTGCTCAGAGAGTAGTCGCCTGCCTGTGCTGGGGTTTGCGGTTTATGGCAACCTTGAGCTGAAAGCCCACTCCTGGGCTTGTTGATTGCAGCTGGCTTCCCCGCTCAGATGTCTGGGAGCTCTGCCACACTCAGGCACCCCCGGTCTTTCTGAGACCCAGGGGATCCTGAGACCACACTGTCTCACCTAGGATTCCGCCCACTTTGCCACCTGGCCACTTCTCAGGCAGGGATGTCCCTCACTGGAGCAGACTTTTAAAAGTTCTGATTTTGCACTCCACTGCTGTATCGCTTTCCAGTAGCTGGCTTACATAGGTTCCCTCCTCCTGCAGTTTATCATCCCATATACTGCCTCAGATTCACTTCTCCGCACCTCCTACCTTGGAGAAAGTGGTCGCTTTTTTATTTGTAGAGTTGCAGCTATTATTTTCTTAGATCTCTGGTTGAGTTTGCAGGTGTTCAGAATGATTTGATAGCTACCTAGCTGAATTCCTGAGACCAGGTGAAACCAGGGTCTCCTACTCTTCCTATTTCTGTTTATTGCTAAATATTATTCTCTTATATGGGTGTATTATATTTTATTTGTCCATCAGTTGATGGGCTTTTGAGTTGTTTTCACATTTTGCCTATTATGCATAATGCTGCTATGAACACTCATGTACAAGTTTTTATGTGGACATATGTTTTCATTTCTCTTGGGTATACACTTAGGAATGGAATTACTGGTATATATGGTAACTCTCTGTTGAACTTTTTGAGGAATGGCTAAACTTCCAAAGCAGGTATACCAGTTTGCATTCCTACCAGCAGTGTTTGATGGCTTCACTTTTTCCACATCCTTGTCAGCAACACTTGTTATTATCTGTCTTTTTTTTTCTGACTTTCTAATTATAGTCATCCTAACGAGTTTGAAGGGATATCTCACTGTGGTTTTGATGTACATTTCCCTGATAACTAATGAAGCCTTTTCATGTGTTTATTGGGCATTTGTATATTTTCTTTGGAGAAATGTCTGTTCAGATTCTCTTTACCCATTTTTAGTTGGGTTATTTGTCTTTTTATTATCAAATTGTAAGTTATTTATAGATTCTAGATATAAGTTTCTTATTCTATGTATGATTTTCAAATATTTTCTCCCATTCTGTTGTCTTTTTCACTTTCCTAATAGTGTCCTTTGAAGCACAAAAGTTTTTAACTTTGACAAAAGCCAATTTATTTTTTTTCCTTTCTTTTTCTTACAGTTTTGGTGTCATATCTAAAAATTCACAGAGTCATCAAGATGTACTCCGAAAAAAAAAAAAAAAGATTTACCCCTATGTTTTCTTCCAAAAGTTTTCTAATTTTAGCCTTTTAGATCTTTGATCCATCTTGAGTAAGGTGGGGAGGTGGGGTAGAAATCACAGGTAAAAATCAAACTAAAGATGATATGTCTGGAGATACTAATAAATAAATAAGTAGCAGGAGATACATGAAACAAGACTGCCAAAATACTAATTATTAATGTTCAGTGAAGAATGCATGGGATTTACTATGCTATTTTTTCTAGATTTTTTTTGTTTGAAAATATCCATAACAGAATGTTTTTCTTAGTATCAGTTATAGTTTCTTGGCACCATTAATTACATTGACCTATCATCAGTATCCTTTGCTTGGTATTGGACTATTAGTTATTAGATGGCCTCAAGTACAAGTTGGGGTATAACTGTGAAAATCTTAATTACTATAATAAAAACTGTACAAGCAAAACAAATTAAGCTAAAACTTTTTTATCTCAAGGTCTCTAAATTCTTGATATACCCAAAACTTGTGTTCTATTTAGAATTTTATGAACAGTATGTTTAAATGTGTTGTATACAAATTTGTGTAGTTTACAGCTTTCTACAATCTACTTCTCAGGCTTCTGTTGAGGGACAGCTGTTCTGGAGAATGCTGAGTGGAGAAAAGTCTTTTTTTTTTTTGTCTCAAATAAGCTTGCAGTTGAACAAAGATAAACTGATTTCCTTACCACAGGACTTCTCAGGATCTTTTAATATGCAAATACAAATCCTAAATCTTTAATATTTGGCCCGCAGTGTTGTTTTGTTTTGGTTTGGTTTCTTTTTAGAGAGAGCGTGAATGTGCACTCTTCTCTTTGTAACAGAACAATAGAAATACAGCAAGGATATAAAAAATTGACCAACACCATCCAATCACTGGATCTAATTGACATTTAGAGAATATGCCATTTGACAATACAAGAATACACATTCTTTGTTTTTTGGGATTTATTTTTGTTTTTTTGGCGGGGTGCAGAGGAGAAGGAGAGAGAGAACCTTAAGCAGGCTCCTCGCCAGCACAAAGCCCCACGCAGGGCTCAGTCTCACAACCCTGAGATCAAGACCTGAGCCAAAATCAAGAGTCAGATACTTAACCAGCTGAGCCACCCAGGTTCCCCAACAAACAGTGTTTTTTAAGCTTATTTGACCACTTGTATACCATGGAGTAGTTTGGAAAACATCAGACTACATATTTAAAAATCACATTAATGCCATACTTATATAATTAAAAATTTAAGTTATTTATCACTCCCCTGATTGTCATTTCTTAAAGTTTCTCCTTTCTCCTCCTTATGTCAATCCTTTTCTATTGCTCTTATTTTTGTAATTTCTTCTCATGTATTTGTCTAACTACTGAAAGTGACCAGATTTTGAAATTGCTATGTTTCTCTATGGGTATGGGTTTGTTACTAACAGAAAATATTTAACACTAATAGAAAATATTTTCAGTTAATTATGCCTTTAAAATATAATAAATTATGACTTCTATTTGTACTTGTTATTTAACTAATAGCATTTGCAAAACTTGCAAAAGAGAGCAGTGTTTAGAGAATTACAACTATTAGATAAATTTTGTTGTCTTTCTAATTGAATTTTGCTTTATTCCAAAAAATTTAGAAAATATTGCTACAGGAATAACTAGCGAACTTTAAAATTATTCAAAATTGAAAAAACTGGTGAACTTTGATCCAAATCAGGAAAGATGGCACCATTACAATGGAGAAGCATAATGAGGATGATAAACATCCTAGGGGTGGTGTTCAATGTCAGACCTCTTTTTTTTTTATATACATTTTATTTATTTATTTGACAGAGAGAGACACAGCGAGAGAGGGAACACAAGCAGAGGGAGTGGGAGAGGAAGAAGGAGGCTTCCCGCTGAGCAGGGAGCCCGATGTGGGGCTCAATCCCAGGACCCTGGGATCATGACCTGAGCTGAAGGCAGTCGCTTAATGACTGAGCCACCCAGGCACCCCCAATGTCAGACCTCTTAATGAGACCAGTGAATAACACTGACTATTGGCATTTTATATGTAGTAGTGAATGGGTGAAGGACTATACTCAAAACTCACTACTTGCTATTGTTTTTTTGTATTAATATTCAGCTATAGGAATGTTTTAAAAGTCAAATGAAGAATAAACTCAAATGTAAAAGCTCAAAAAAAAATTTAACTCCCAGCTGACCTCAGCTGACCTCCCCTACCCCGGATCATTAGGGCTTTTCTCCTCAGGTAACCAGAAATAGTACTTTCCCAAGTACTGTCTCCCTGATTATTTGTTTCTTGAGTATCCTCTGTTACTTGTTTATATTCATTGCCCTGCGTGGTGCTTGAGATTCTTTCCCCCTCTGTTCCTCCCTTGGCGTGCACACACTCTCTAAAATAAATAAATAAAAAATATATTTTTTTAAATCCTGTTTTGAAATATACTTAAAAATCTTAGTGTCATTGCAAATGATTAGACAAAAGCCATTCTCTTATATTTTTAAATTCCATCCCAGAAACATAGGTCTAGAAATTAATAAACGAGTCAGATGGAGAAAGCTACTTTTAATATATATGAACTCTGAAAGCTTTTTATTCTGCTGTTTAGATATTGTGAGTGTTAGTGTTTTCTTGAACTACATTTTTGTTTTATATTAAAACTGATAAACCAGGATTAGAGGAGATTGAGCTATTATGATTAATTGTACTTTGGTTATTTGAGGAATAATCAGTAAAACTTTGTATTTCTCTCTTCCAATTTATTGTTGAAAATCTCCCTGATCTTTATCAATATCTTTTCTTGTTTCCACTGTTTGTCCCTAACAGAACCATGTCTAAATTATCTACCCCAGTCCCTCACACAAGGAAGGTTAGGCATCAAATTAAGTGAATGGTAGATACTTGTTAAACAATTTTATTGTTGAAGATAATGTAATCTTTCTTTGTGATTTGGCATGCAATATACTGATTTTTTTTCCAGTAAGTTGAGCTTTTTCCATTATGTTTCAAGTACATGTATAAAAATTTGGAAACAATATATTAATTAAAAGGACAAATGTTACTACATAATAATTTTGTGTGTTTTTTACATTGTAAATACAATTATTATAGTGAAACATATTTTTAATTAAAAATTTAAGAATTTCATGCTTTGAAGATTATACTTGCTTTAGACAGGTATAGGACTTACGGGCCTGAGGATCAGACTTATATCTATGGCAAAGTATTTTTCTTTTCTCCTTACCTTCTCCCCATCTAGTACACATACTTTGGTATTCTAAGTATGTTTTATATTTACATTTTCTTTGTTTCCCATGGTCTGTTTGCTAGAGAGAAAGTTAATTCTAATTCTTGGAACCATTTTTGGTTTATTTATAGATTGGTCAAAGAAAAAGTGATGTATGAGAAAGAAGCAAAACAACAAGAAGAAAAGATCGAAAAAATGAAAGCTGAAGATGGTGAAAATTATGCCATCAAAAAGCAGGTAAATTATATCTTTAATAATAATAGCTAACATTTACAGAATACCATGTTAACTAATATTTTAACAGCCCTTTGAGAAGGTGCTATTATTTTCTTCTTTACTCTTAAAACATCCGTTTAAAATTAGGGAAGCAGGGGCGCCTGGGTGGCTCAGTCGTTAAGCGGCTGCCTTCGGCTCGGGTCATGGGATCGAGCACCGCATGGGGCTCCCTGCTCAGCCGGGGAGCCTGCTTCTCCCTCTGCCTCTCCCTGGCGCTCCCTCTGCTTGTGCTCACTCTCTCTCTGTCAAATAAATAAATAAAATCTTAAAAAAAAAAAAATCAGGGAAGCACAGGTTACATAGTTTGCCCACAGTCACAGAACCACCACGCAGTATAGCTAGGGTTTGAATACAGGAGTTCTGGGTCTAAAATTTGTACTCTTTTCCATTAAGCTATCCTGCCTCTCCATTTTAAACATGTATTAAATATAAAAATGGGGGCACCTGCCTGGCTTAGTGAGAAAAGCATGAATGTTGATCTCAGGGTTCTGAGTTTTAGCCCCACATAGTTTGTAGAAATTACTAAAAAAAATAAACTTAAAAATATTTAATATATAAATGGCCTAATCTTACATTAAGTGTATTTGTATATTAAATTTACAAATATTTTCCCCAAACTGATTTGAAGACCACCAAAATAAATATATATATTACAAGTGGCTTCTTCTGATTATTCTCATGACAAATACCAGTCTCCTTAGTACTGCACACAAGGCTCTTCTTAATTTTGGTACCTGCTTATCCAACCTTATCTCTTGCTATTCCCTCCCTGGATCTCTTAGGTCTTGCCTTTTTGTTTCCTGAACATGCTCTTTTCCTTTTTTTTTTTTTTAAATTTTATTTTATTATGTTAATCACCATACATTACATCATTAGATTTTGATATAGTGTGCTCTTTTCCTTTGCCTCTGACATACTGCATGTGTGTGAGATGCTCTTCCTACTTCTCCTACCTACCCTTTCCTTATTAATTCCTGTTTATCTGTTAAACATCCCCTACCCTCTACCTCAGTCTCCTTTGCTGAAACTCTCCCTTCCCCTCCCCCTGTGCACATTGTCTCCTCCACCCCGTATTTGTGTGTGTGTGTGTGTGTGTGTGTGTGTTTTAACCTTCAAGAGTTCCATCTGCAATCTCTAGGTCTTAAGTTCATACCGTCCTATAACTTCTCCATTTTTATGTCCACTCATTTATTCACTCAACAGATATTTATTGAATCCCCTGCTACTTGCAAGTACTATTCTAGGCATTCTTTTAGGCATGGCATTAAAAAGAACAGCAAACCAGAAACAAAAAAACTAGAGTCCCTACTTACTTGACATTCATTCTAGTGCCGGTATCTCCCAATTTATATCTCTGGGCTTGACCATTCCAGACGTATATATATTCAGCTAATCACCTACTTGGCATATTCTCTTGGGTGCCCAAAATAAAAATCTTGGTCTTCCCTCAAGCTAACCCACCTTCTCAGAACAAAAATCTGTTCCTTCTCTTGTTATCCCCCTTCAGTAAATGATATCTCCAGTCATCCAGATACCTAAAACCAAAAATTTAGTGGATCTCTTCTTGATGCTTTTCTCTTTTAATAACCACATCTAATATCCGCAAGTCCTGTTTCTTATTCCCTCTTTTTCTTTCCCTACTACGACTGCCCTTAATCCAGTCCACTCTCATCTTTTGCCTACGCTATTGCAAAAGCCTCCTAGTCAGCACACCTCTTTGTCTCTTGAAACCTCCATTCGCTCCCACAACAGCCAGATTGATCTCTAAAATGGTACATGAGATCATTTACTCCTTTACTTAAAATCCAGTGTGCAGTGCATGTAGAATAAAATCCAGATAACACCAAGGAAAAGGAGAGTATAAACAAGCTTATACAGATTATATCTCAAGACTTCTTTTTTAAATCAGGACTCTGTGAACTCACAGTGGTTTTAATCATATAAGTTACGTTACAGATGATAATAGCGAACACTCAATCCAGACTTCATTCAACAGTGTTAATCATTTAAAATGGATTTTTTTTCTTTTTTTTTTTTTTTAATTTTATTTATTTATCTTACAGAGAGATATAGCGAGAGAGGGAACACAAGCGGGGGAGTGGGAGAGGGAGAAGCAGGCTTTCCGCGGAGCAGGGAGCCCAATGTGGGGCTCGATCCCAGGACCTGGGACCCTGACCTGAGCTGAAGGCAGACGCTTAACGACTGAGCCACCTAGGTGCCCCAAATGGATTTTTCTGTAAACATTTGCTGTGTTGCAAAAGGAACACAGTGTCATCTGAAACATCCAGGAAGAAAACCTCATTTTGAGCTTCTAGGAGAGCCTGCCTTCCTCTATGTGTGGTATAGCAGAGGACATTTGTGTTTAAGATTTTCGTAAATTTTGGGCACCTGGGTGGCTCAGTTGGTTAAGCAACTGCCTTTGGCTCAGGTCATGATCTTGGAGTCACGGGATCGAGTCCCGCATCGGGCTCTCTGCTCAGCAGGGAGTCCGCTTCTCCCTCTGACCCTCCCCCCTCTCATGTGTTCTCTCTCTCAAATAAATAAATAAAATCTTTAAAAAAAAAAAAAAGATTTTTGTAAATTTTGAGAGGATTTGTAAACAGATTTGTAGATTGAGTATGTCTGCTGATATATTGACCGCTATGAACTGACTGCTCTTCATAAGGATTTACATATGGAATACAATTTTTTGATTCTTAAAATAATGATGGTTAAATGCTTTTTTATTTATTATTATTTTTTAAAGATTTTATTTATTTATTTGACAGAGAGAGACACAGCGAGAGAGGGAACCCAGGCAGGGGGAGTGGGAGAGGGAAAAGCAGGTTCTCGTGGAGCAGGGAGCCCGAAGCGGGGCTTGATCCCAGGACCCTGGGACCATGATCTGAGCCGAAGGCAGACGCTTAACGACTGAGCCACCCAGGCACCCCAAATGCTTTTTTAAATATGTACTTGTATAAATATTTATATCACTCTCTCACTTTAGCCCCTCTCTCACTTTAATGCCCTCTGTTGTCTTCCAGCATCTAGTAAGAAATAGTATGACATAGTATATGATTTTATTTCTTCCAGGTGCTTCTCAATCAGGCTTATTTTCCCAGATATGTAGCTTTTGACCTCAGTTAGTTTTTTCTTTGCCCTGTTCTTTTAATCACCAGTAATGTATTAAAAAACAGCCATATAGCTAGAATAGAAGTTGTAAGTTACCTGAATGGAGAATAAATGTGTTCTCTTTCTAAATAAAATTCTACAAATAATGTCACAGATTATCAGAGAATCTGTTTTATTTTAATATTTATATATTGATCATCTTTCAGTAAAGTCATTACTTTATAGGTAGGGATTAACTCTTCATTGAATCTTCTGTTCTAATAGTTATTTAAAAGTACTAGCCACTTAACTATATTATCATTGGATACATATACAGATGTAAAAAGGGGAAATTTTTTGTTTAAAAATCCTTTCCAGGGCACCTGGGTGGCTCAGTCAGTTAAGCATCCAACATTTGGTTTAGGTGCAGGTCATGATCTCATGGGTCGTGGGATTGAGCCCCGCCTCCAGCCCCATGCTCAGAGAGGGGAGTCTGCTTGAATATTCTCTCCCTCTGCCCCTTCCCCCACTCTTGTGCTCATGCGTGCTCTTTTTTATCTCTCTCTCAAATAAATAAAATAAATCTTAAAAAAAATCCTTTCTACACTCAGCCATGTTAAAATTCTCTCTTTTGTCACAGTGGTCATGGTTTATAACATGATTTCTTAGATTCCTAGTCAACCTAGCACTTACCTTCGAAAATACTACCCCATGTCTAAATACAGAACAATAAATCTTTCTGTTAACTGCTGTTGTTAACCTGTAGTTTAGACAGTTGTCAGTTGCAGTTTTGTTTGTCTCAGGAAACCTTTTCTTTAACCCATCCTACATGCTTTTCTCAATTACCTTTCCCTAGCTTAGCTATACTGAGGCCAGCCATTCATGTTATATGCAACAAGAGTTGCTTTACCCAAAGCACTGCTTTATTCCTATATGCCTGGGACTTTAACGTTGGTGATAGGGTGATAGTTTTTTTACATGTTTGTGCCCCTCATAGAAAATATCAGGGAGGCCAAATGCTGCATTTTGTGGGTTCTTTACTTGTCTCCCTGTATTACCTCCTCTTCTGAGCTAAATCCCCTCCTTAACCACCTCTCACCACCCTGGCTCTTTTCTCACGTGGGTCTATTTTGCTGTGGCTTTCATGGATCTTCTGAACACATTTATGGGGTGCCTGGGTGGCACATTCGGTTAAGTGTCCAACTCTTGGTTTTGGCGCAGGTCTTGATCTCAGGGTTGTAATCCCAGGATCGTGAGATTGAGCCCCACGTTGGGCTCCGAGGTCTGCAGGGGTTCTGCTTGGGATTCTGTCTTGCCCTCTGCCCCTCCTCCCCCACACCCACCCTCCCTCTCTCTCTCTCTCTCTTTCTAATAAATTTTTTTTAAAAAGTAATAATACACATTTATTATCCTATCAGTCCCTACCAAACTTCTTAACCTGTTTTTGTTGTCAAAATTGGCCTTTCCTAGATTAGGCCTAATTTTGGTTCTTGTAAACTAAGAAACTAGGCAGAAAGACCCTAAGAGGCCAAAATACAGTTAGTCAAAGAGTTATTCTGCTGTCCTTTTCTTTTTGGGCTAGATAATATAATGCAGCCTTCAAATATTGCCCAAATTGATTTTAGTCCTCTGCTCATGATATCCCTCTTTTCTATTCTCCTCATCCCAATTAGAGATAGATACAGAGGATTTTGCCCTCAACCAGTGAAGATATTCTGGTCTTTTGTTTTTTTTAAACTTAATCTGCCACAGAAATGATTAAGAAAAATAATCACATGTATCCCTCTTATTTCACCTGAGGCATGACTCAATCTCTTATTTTCCAGAAGTAATATTAAAAAGACAAATTGGTACAATTTTCCCAATAAGGATGTACAGTTATTACATATAATTGCAGTGGTGTAAAAATTTGTCTTTTTGAGAAGGATGCACACACATTTTTTTGTGATTTACTTGAGGCATGAGTTAACATTCACAGTTGGATATTTCTTTTTCCTAAAACTGAAGGGGAAATTTTTTTTTAAGTATGTGGAAAGTAATAGGAAGCTTCAGTTTAAAAGAGGAATTTTATCAGGTGTCTTTTACAGGACTGATTCTACAAGAAACACCATATTTCTTTTATCAGTAATAAAAATATTACTTAAAATAACTTCTAGTGGTGCAAGAAAATATTATTGTCTCTTGTTACCTATACTCAGGTTTATAAATGTGCTCTATTTATACACTTGTTTTGTGTTTTGTTACAGATTTACAGGAAGTTGCAGTTAGTGTTCAGGGAGGTCACACATACCCCTCACTATTCCTCCTACAATGTTAGTATCTTCTATAATTATAATTATAATATCCGGACCATGAAATTGACATTGGTACACCACAGAGCTTATTTATATTTCACTAGTTACACATGTACTCATTTGTGTGTATCTGTATATAGGTTTGTGTGTTTATGTATATAGTCCCATACAGTTCTGTCACATGTAGAATGTGTAACTACCACTACAGTCAAGATGGAAAACCTTTCCACACAGAACTGCCTTTTGCTACCTCTTTGTAGCCCCTGTCTTCTCCCTCCCTGAGTTCTAAGTAATTAATACTCTTTGAAGAATCATACAGTATGTAACCTTTTGAAGTTGGCTTTTTCCACTTAGCATAATTCCCTTGAGGTCCACTTAAGTCACTGAGTGTATCAACTTTGTTCTTTATTATTGCTGAGTAGTATTCCATGGTATGGATGTATCACAGTGTAACCATTGAAGAACATTGGGATTGTTTCCAGGTTGGGGCTCTTACAAAAAAACCTGCTATGAACATTCATAGACCATTTTTGCATGAACATAAATTTTCATCTTACTGGGATAAAAGCCCAAGAAATTGCTGTGTTGTATTAGTACATTTTTTGTTTTAAGAGAAACTGCTGAACTCTTTTCCGGGGTGGCTATACTATTTTCCTTTCCCACCAGTGATGTGTGAATGATCTGATTTCTCCACATCCTCACTATCCTTTGGTGTGATCACTGGTTTTCATTTTAGCATTTAGCCATCACCTACATGAGAGATGTATAGTGATGTCTGATTATGCTTTTAATTTTGATTTTCCTAATGGCTATAATGTTGATATCTTCTCATTTTGTTTATTTGTGTCTGTATATCCTCTTCAGTGAAATGTCTGTTCATATATTCTGCCCAGTTTTTTAAAAGTTTTTTATTAATGTAAGTTATCTCCACACCCAGTGTGGGGCTTGAACTCAATGACCCCAAGTTCAAGAGTCACACACTCTTCCCACTGAGCCAGCCAGGCATCCCTAAGATTTTATTTTTTTTTAGTAATCTCTGCACCCAACATGGGGCTTGAAATCACAACCCTGAGATCAAGAGTTGCATGCTCTACTGACCGAGCCATCTTCTGCCCACGTTTTAACGGGATTCTTTGTTCTTCCACTTTTCAGTTTTGAGAGTTCTTTGTATATTCTAGATAAATGCCCTTTGCTGGCTATGTGGTTTGCAAATATTTTCTCTTAGTCTGTAATTTGTCTTTTTAGCCTCTTAACAGGGTCTTTCACTGAGCAACACTTTTTAATTTTGAGAACATCTAATTTATGGCTCATATTTCCTTTTGTGAAGTATACTTTTTGGTCTCAAGTCTTAAGGCCTCTTTGCCTAGTTCTAGGTCCCAAAGATTTTCTGTTTTTTTTTTCTAAAACGTCTATGGTTTTATGTTTTACATTTAAGGCTTTGATCAGTCTTGAGTTAATTTTTATTTAAGGGGTGAAGTTTAGTTTCAGATTCATTGATTCATCTTTTTGTCTATAGGAGCCTAGTTTGTCCAGCAATGTTTGTTGAAAAGATTATCCTTCCCCCCCATTGAACTGCTTTTATACCTTTGTCAAAAACCCATTGGACATATTTGTGTGGGTCTATTTTTGGTTTCTCTCTTTTGATCCATTAACCTGTGTGTATTCATTTACCAATACCACACTGTCTTGATTACTGTAGCTATAGAGAAAGCTTTAATTGTGAAAGAGTGAGTCCTCTCATTTTCTTTTTTTTATTGTTTTAGCTATTCTGTTTCCTTTGCCTTTCCATAAAAATTTTAAAATAACCTTGTCTATGTCTATAAAACACCTTGCTAAGATTTTGATAGGAATTGCATTAAACCTATACATCAGTTTGGGGGCACCTGGGTGCTCAGTTGGTTAAGTGTCTGACTCTTTTTTTTTTTTT